CCGTAAGTCTGTTTAGTTTATACAGAAGTTAGCCCGCTACAACCGTAGGTCTGTTTAGTTTATACAGAAGTTAGACCGCTACAACCGTAAGTCTGTTTAGTTTATACAGAAGTTAGACTTACGGTTGTAGCAGGCTGTTTAGTTTACAGACGTTACCCCGCTACAACCGTAAGTCTGTTTAGTTTATACTGACGTTAGCCCGCTACAACACTCGAAATGGCAACCCTTCATGCTCTGATCATCCGGCTAGGTTGATTTGAATGGGAGTGTCTGTTCCACTCTTATTTTATATCTATGGTGTGTATGGTAGGCCTGTTAGCTTTAGACACTGCAAACTGTTATCCCACCTACTGGGACAAAGCGACGAGGTCGGTGATGCACTCCGCAGTGTTACCACTAGCGGCCCCTACCAGCCACGGGCCGGTTGACAATAGAGAGTGAGGAGTCAGCAGACAGTCAGTGGCAGTATAAAACAGGAAGTAAAAGTTGTTTTGAGAAATTGTGAGTGACCGCAACCAAAAGAAGTCCCCAAGCATGCAGCCATAACTGGCTACCCAAAATAATATGCAGTTTGCTGCAGCAGAGTGAGATATAAACCGTGGACAGACACAGAGGTGTACACTCACTCACAGATTTACACACGCGCAACAATTTTCTTGGTGGAAATAATAAATGCTCAAAGGTATTAAATTTATCATAAAACTGAAAACAAAGGGAACTTAGTCTGCATTATTTTGTATTTCCAAAAAAATCATCAGAGTATAATAGAGCACTGCATTACTTATGCTTGTTAGCATCAGCTGCTTCATTCATGCTTCACCATCTCTGGCTCATGGCACAATCAGACCAAAATCCGCTTTTATGCTGCGTTCACACCAAACGCGGCGCGAATTATTCGCGCGAGTAGATTACATACAAAGTATATGCACAGACGCGATGAGACTGGCGCGGTGCGAATTTGCGATGGCGCGACGCGATTGACGCGAATTCGCAGCGCGATGGACGCAAATTCGCGTCAAACGCGTGAGTTGAAATTTTTCAACTTCGGCGAAATATTCGCGTTACGCCCTGGCGCGATAGCCTATCAGCGTTGAGTTGCTTCCCCTGTCATCACTGACTTCCTGCCGTTGTTGAATCAGGAAATAAATAGTGTAGCCGTCTGTGTTCACCCAGAGCTCTACGATACCTCATATCAATAGAGACCAAACTATGTGTATAAATGTGTGTGTGTAAACCATATGGTACAAACAATGAATAGACGCTGCCGTATTTATGTCTAGATGACGTTATTGAGTGTTGGTGGAGCTGCTACAATGTTAGCATAGCCTAGCACCGATCCATCAGAGCTCCATTGAGAAGACAAGTAGCCTACAAATCGGCATCATTACGTAGTTATTTCGGAGTCCCTTTTTGTCGGTTTATTGCCGTTAAATCACAGCCAGATCAGTTTATTTTGTGTTCATACAGCAGTAGTAAACAGCGACGTGTGGCTTGCTAGACACAGTGAATACAGCTCGATAAAATACACGGAGCTCCTCTGGACAATATTATGAACCAGACACGACGGCGTTTAGTTTCCCGGGATATCTGTGACTTCCACAACACGTACTAAGCAGAAATACAGGTTCTTTTTTTCATGGTTAATGGCGGACAGTTGAACGGCTTTCAGGGCGATAAGCCACGCCCCCTCTCCGGAGCGTCCAGCGCGAATGTACACAAATAGTCCCCGGCGAGACCGGCGGCGCGATTGATGCGAATTTGCGGCGTGATGAATTTGTGAACACAGCATAAGACTTTTAAATAAGATTTTATATTATCACCCCACCTGAATAAAATGTGCATTACAGGATGTTAGTGGAGTTTCATGGAATGAACAACCTATAAACCGTAAATTATGTTTGCTTAAGGCCATTTTATCAAACGCTGTGAAATTAAAGGAATAAAGGCTTCTAAACAGGATTTTCAGCCTTACAGAGTGTGAGATAGATGTATATTTAATTTGTTGTAAGAATATCAATTTATGAAAATCTAGGCCGAACACTGTTGTATACACATTGTTTGTCTTTAGTTTTCATGAGTAACTAATTTGATACTGTAATGTGTGTAATATCAAAAAAGGCCAGCAGCTGTCGCCATCTCACCACTAGAGGGATTGTCTTGTGCCTTGTGTTCACGCTTCCTTCTCAAGTTTCTCAGAAGAAGAACAGTAACTTGACACAAAAGAAAAGTGTAACGCAGTAAACAGGCACTCTAATAAGATGTTTGTTTGAACTGTTTTTAATGTGTCTGCTGCCGTTATTTGGTGCCCCCTGCCATCATACACTGACGGGAGGGCAACATATCTTGACCAGCCCGGAGAAAGGTGTCTTTGAGTAGAATCTCCAGCTGTGAGAGGAAGATCTTTCTCCCAAGACGAACCTAGAACAACAGTTAGAGAACTACAGTTTCGTCATGGAACTTGAGGCGCTTCTGGACAGAGCCAGCTCAATTCTGACCAAACCACACTGGGATCTGGTAGTACGAGTCTGCATACACCTGAACTGTAGACTGCGGTCAAGCCAGCCTCCACTTCGAAAAACACAGTCAAGCCAGCCTGCACGTTGTTTTGCTGTACGCATACATACTAGGCATTACTGTAAGAGCGTGTAAGAACTGACTTCAAAATAAGAGCAATGTTCTTATTCCGGCCCGATGCTGCTCTTCTTAGAAAGCAAAAAGGAGTGGCTCGCTGCCAACAGATCTCTCTCTGTAACACCAGAGAAATCTGCCTTCAAGGGTCCGAAGAAACTCACATCCAGAGGTTGAAGGATGTGAGACGTATGTGGTGGCAGGCACAAGAGAATGACCCCCTCCCTCTTTGCCGCCGGACCAGCTCTGGATCCAGATGGGATTGATGTCCATCCATGATGAGCAGCAGCAGGCGCTCCTGCGCGGCGAACTTCAGGAAGTGCACGACTGGTTCCTTGGGCCTGCCTCTAAGCATGTTTAGTCCCCCGGGGCACCATGACCTTTCTTCTTGTAGAGTCCAGCTGAAGCCCTGTTTCATCGCAGTTGTATATCTGATGGGGTTTCTCCCTCAACCCGTGCTCCTCCATGGTGGTGGTGAGAAGCCCGAAATACTCCTCAATTGGCCCCCTCTTGGCGCAGGATGCCCTCCCACGGTCAATGATGTCTGGGGTCCGGGCAGTAAGGCGATGGTGTTGCCGCTCTCTAAAGTTAATCAACCACGTCTGGCCAACCACGGTTCTTGGTGCTGCCTGATGGCGGCGGTTGTAAATGGCCATAGCGTGGGCCAGGACCTGATGCTTCGTCACTGGAAACCCATGACTGGCAGAATACAAACAGTACTCCACCAGGGAATCCTCATCTTCAGGGGTGAGGAGGATCCTCTGACCAAACTGACTCGGTCACTCAGGCTGGACTTAGGGACCCCAAACTGCTGGGCTGCCTGCCGTAGAGTGAGCCTACCTGCTTTCACCTCCTGTAGGCCCGTGCCATGGCCTCCTGGGTCCACTTCCTCGTCTTCCTCTCCCTCTTCCTGATTTTCCGGATGTTTGGCATCTGCAACGAGACATTCATTTTGGCACAGTAAGAAATTAAATTCAAAATTAATTTTAAACTCACATTTCATGTCTCAATAAATTGAATAATTCTATAAATTGCCAGATTACCATGTATAGACACATGCATATTTAACACATGCAGACATAAATATATTTAGCTTAAACGTATCGGATTTACAGTAACGGGTAATTCATTATTGGACTTCTGCGTGGTTACTGATGTGTAGTGTTGGGATCTGACCCTGCTCTCCTGGCTGGCTGAGACCTTCACACGTGCTTTTCAAACAAAGGAGCAGCCATGTTCCTTCCTTTCACCAAAACGCCTGACCTGGGGTCTGCAAGAAACCTCATGCCGGATGACCACACCCCCCCAGCTCTAGCAAAACTTGATCCTGGCCCCTCATTGGCCAAGAAAGGGGCCCCCACTGGTTGTGCCAACTGGTTTATAAGCCTGAGCACAGCTAGAATTCTTCCTCTTCCGTCCAGACATGCTGATGTGAGGAGGTCCACAAGGCTTCTTCCCTCTGGACCTCGTCCTGGCAACAAGAAGATTCACAGGAACCGCGGCCTCATCAAATACTGTCAGGTCACATGTAACATTCGCTGGTCGAACAGATTTTTGAGTTTATTTTGAGTTTCGGATCCTGGAGTGCGAGAACGGATAACTTCTATGCCCCGTTCCCCCACCCTTTTTGTGTACACACCGCCGGCAGGACGGCGATTAACAATCTTTCCTCACCGAAGATTTCCGGGAAGGACGACCCAAACCTCTTCCCTCAGCCGAAGTTAAAAAGCCCTCTCTGCAGAGAGGAGATAGAGTCTGCGCCAGCTCTGAGAGCCGCGCCACCGAGAGCCCTCATCTCTCGAGGACTGACTGATTCCCACCACGGGAAACGTACCCTACCGAACGAAGCTTCTACAAGTAAGAGTTACTGGTATCTGGGCCTAGCTTAGCTTAGCTTAATTTAGCCTATTCGTTATGTCGTTGTTATTCCTGTATCTTGTTATGTTAAGGTGCTGTCGTGTTCTAACGTGTTATTGCGCAACATTGCGGACCACGGAGTCCCGTTATATTGTGTATTTCCTGCTTTAACTGTTTGCATTAGATCCGTCGCTGCTAGTGGATGTGGAGCCTGTGATCTTATCACTTTAAAGACTAAAACCACGGTGGCGGACCCTCGTCTCGCCGATCGAGTTTCGGGGTGATAAGGGAGCAACACTCGCATCTCACTGCAGTGATACAGATCTGTTTTGTTTTGGGGATTCTTTTATTTTGTTTTGGTTTTATTCTCTCTTCTTTAAATCGGCTCTGTGAGTGAAATTTAGAACCGCAACTATCACCGTACAAGCGTGACCGGTCGGTTCAGAATCCGACCACAGAGTTTACGAGTGATCAGCTGTTTCTCACATTCTCACTGCAGCGCCGAGCACCGCGCTCAGAGCTCCGCTCTCTCGCTCTCTCTCTCCCTCTCTTCCTACAAACCCGCGTACACATAGGGTACATCCCAAGTCTCTTAATTGCATCCCCGTTTCCCTCACTTGGGTCCTTTCCTTGCGTCTTAGTCCCTCCCACCAGGGATGCATGGAGGAAACCATGCGAGGAGAGAGGAACGAGGAAATATCTTTTAAGAGACATGAGACGTCCTTTCCTCAGTTGTGTCACGTGAAGTGACATCTGTTTCTGATGACGGAGGATCAGATGATCACAGCTGAATCAGCTGTCAGTCGACTTGAACAGGTGGACAGACTTTTGATAAGTTTGTGTCTGTTCACATGATCACTGTACTTAATAATAGTAACTAATAATACTAATACTGATAAAGACGCACAGTAATCACCACTGTAGAGGTGTTTCTCTCTGTAGTCTGTTCACAAACTGTCCTGTGTTCTGTTTATAAGCACAGGATCCATTTCTACCGGCGGAATGCGATCGTCTTATTTATGAATTATTTGCGTCTGTACGTTTTGAAATTCAGATTATGACGTCATTATTAAATAACCCAGAATATGATTATTGTTTCTCTTGAATGATAAAACTCATCAAACCCGACAATCAGGAATGAACAGCCTCACGTGACTGAATGAAATGATGATAAATGATGTAAAAAGTGTTTCGTCTCTCCAGCTCTCTCTCTCTATCTATCTATCTATCTATCTATATCTATATATCTATCTATCTATATCTATATATCTATCTATCTATATATCTATAATCTATAATCTATATCTATCTATCTATCTATCTATCTATCTATCTATCTATATCTATAATCTATAATCTATCTATCTATCTATCTATCTATCTATCTATCTATCTATATATATATATATATATATATATATATATATATATACAGTTGTGTGAAAAAGTGTTTGCCCCCTTCCTGATTTCTTATTTTTTT